ATTATGAAAAAATATACTGCAAGGGAACGATGTAATTGTTAGTTACCACAGAGACAGAAATTAAAAATATTTTTTCAAAGGTTTCCATAGAATTATGAATGCATTTGCAAATATGTCAAGAAAAACCTGTCTCCAAGTTCTCCCACACATCTGTTGATGTGTTACCATAACTTGATAAAATCCTTTTCCAATGTGTTAAAAAAAAACCTGTCTCCAAGTTCACCCACACATCCACTGATCATTGTGCTACCATAACTGGATCAAGTCTTTTTTCAATATGTCAAAAGTAAACTTTGTTACGTCATTTTTAAATGTAATTTTTATTAGTTTTATTTTTAGCTTTTATTATCATTTTAATGTTTCAGAGTTAGCATGATGTCCTCTAGATGTTGCTGATGAAATAATATTTGGATTTAGATTTAGAAACCTGTCTCCAAGTTCACCCACACATCCATTGATGTGTTACCATAACTTGATAAAATCCTTTTTCAATGTGTCAAAAGAACCTGTCTCCAAGTTCTCCCACACATCTGCTGATGTGTTACCATGACTTGCCTTGATAAAAACCTTTTTCTACTGTACATAATATTACATGACTTGTATATTCTATATTCTGTCTATATAGGATAAAAGTCCAACAATACTCACTGTTGTATTTGTCCAGTTTCTTGAAAACCTGATTTACCTTAACAAATTTCTCTGCCTGAGCAAATGAGAAGACAAAATATTGAACAGTTGCTATTTATTAATTCGTTTCCAAACCAATGTACACCGAATAATTAGCAAATTAACTGAAAACAGGTTTTTCTTCAGCTCCAATATGTTGAATGGCAAACAGCAGCAGGAAAGATTCTTATTTCACAACAAAACAATAAAAGTCAATAATATTATAAAAGTTAGTCCAGGGACCAGGATCTAAAAACCTTTCCAGTCCATGATTGTGGAATTTGTTTTCCAACCTATTTCAGCCATGCAATAAATCTCTTATGAAGTACAGGGTTCATACTCTTTTTCAGAAACAAATTTCCAGGACTTTTCCAGGACCTTTCCAGGACTCAGATTGATTTTTCCAGGACTCTAAAATGCATATGAACCCCTCCACTCCCAAGATCTCAATGTTAATTCTCCTTACTGTCTGCCATACATTTCATACTTTTACTTGAGTCTAGATAAAATCTTCAACCAACTAGTCAGTTTTGTGAAAAATTATACCCTATTCTAGACCCAAAC